CTCTGCACTGACCCACAGCCGTATCTTGTCATATCGTCTGTGACAGTCTTTTAGAAGCTGTTCTGCAGAGAGAATAACCTGGGTTAGCTTTAGTTAAGCCAGCAAGAGAACAAGCTGCAGAGACAGGTGCAAGAGGGCTGCTGGGAGCACACATGGGATTGCACAAGCAGGCCGTGGCCTCGCACAGCTGCTGCACACAGCCTGAACATTTCATGACCCAGACAGGAAAGGGAAGAGGTACAAGAAACTGTTTGGGGGTTTTTTTAATCATTTTTACAAAAAAAAATTAATCAGGAAACACATTTTTACTGTGAGGGTGATGGAACACTGGCACAGGTTGCCCAGAGAGGTTGTGGAGTCTCCATCCTTTGAGATACTCAAAAGCCATCTCAACATAGTCCTGGGCAACTGGCTCTGGGTGGCCTCGCTTGAGCAGGGGGCGTTGGACAGATGTCCTCCAGAAGTCCCTGCCAACCTCAACCATTCTATGATTCTGTGAAAAAGCTCTTCAACTCACTCTGATGGAGGGGGGCTGCAAATGGCCCATACTTACACCCCCATCATGCAGGAAAGGGCCTTAGCAGAGCTGCTCTTGCCGACTTCACCGTCAAGAACATCAGCTGCTTTCCCAGCAGGTAGAGGGAAGTTTTCAACCTTCGCATCAAACCGAGCTTTTGGCGTTGACCTCAACACTTGGGAAGAAACTGCTCCCACACAATGTCTGAAGAACAATGGTTGTTTGGATCATGATGGCACCTATAGTCCATGTGAAAACTCAAGTCCAAATTAAAAATCTTTTCCCTGCACTTGTATTTCAGTACTTTGACAGTAACAATTTCAGAGCCCCCTATACTAGTTGATCTGGACAGAAAGGGCTTGTGTTCTTATAATCAGAGAAGGCATCTTTGCAGGCGTAAGGTTCAGTTACCATAAGGTGGGGTTTTTTTTAATTACAGCCTACTTGCAGGGGTGAAACAGAGTTCCCTTATACCCTAAGGGAATCAGTGTCAAAAATAAAAATCCTTATCTTTTTACTTCCTGCCTCCCACTCACAGGAATCACAGAATTAGTGGAAATGCTAGTCACATATAACATGACAATGTTCAGCTCACTATTTCCAAGTCTGGCATGGGAATTTTATCCAGAAGTTTATTGCAATAAACAAATACATGGTTTGGCCTTATATTTTATTAGGGAAAAAAAAATTAACTCAATATATTGAGAGCAGGCAGGCAGGCTCCTAAAGTTATTAAAAATGTATCACAGAACTTGCCTATTATCCAATTAGGGCAAACTACACAGTCAAACCGACGCCAGGAAGAAATACCTAGTAGGCAAGCAGCAGTTCTTTAGGAAACCGCTTTGGGCTTGCTTAACATTTTAGCCCACTACTATTCTCAAACTTCAGCCTGGCCTGCTCTGACAGCAGCAACTTCCACAGTTTAAAAGAAGCCTCTGTAGGCAGACCAAAGGAGTACACTGGTTGAGTTCAGGACACCCTCTCTGTATCTACCTGCACTTCCCATAACTGCTAAAGATGCAAGACAACCAACGAGCAATTAAGATTTATTCTTACGAAGCAGAAACATCAGCACACAATACATCTCATTTTATTTATATCCCATAAACAGTGCTGCAATTTCAGGAACTTAAAACACGCTGAACGGTCGCTCGTATTTACCTTCTCGGATAAGCCTCTCTTTACGATCCTGTGGAAGAAAGAAAACACTCATCACTGTCCTATCAGAGAAGTTTCCATCAGCCTGGGATGAGAGAAAAGCAGTCCTAGTATTGCAGCATGGACTACAGGAAGATAGCACCACATACGATCTCAAGGGTCTTTTCCTACCTAAATGATTCTCTAAGCACAAACTCTGGTAACAGCCATCGTGGTTAAAAAGTAAAAGAACGAGGCATTCAGCTTCACCTACCAGCTGTGGCAGATCAACTCCTCTGCACAGGCTAGAGCCACTCTCACAGGTCAGCAGAGACCAAGTCTCATGATGTATTTTTCACCAAAATAGTTTTATCACAGTTAATTTATACAGTTAGTTTCTGCCTCCTCCTTCTGGCTGAATAATCCAATTTAGATATCTAATTGCAGAGAAACTTCTTAGTAACTTCCCTGATCGTGCCTGTAGTCACTGTCAGCCCATTTGTATCTCACTCTGCAGGCATGTACCTTTCTGACAGGTATTGTTACAGTACACAGACACTGCAGACATTGCCCAAATTCCTTCTGCTGCATAAAGCCAGAAGACATGCTTAAGACTTGGCAATTTATCTTTTGCCTTCCCAGAGAAAAAGAGTCTAATAGTTATTGTGCTTTATATACCACCAGAAAACAAAGAAAAATCCCCAAACATCAGTAAGGGAACTGCAATACAGGAAAACAAATTGTCCTGGAGACTACATTAAAGACTTCAGCTTAAATATTCCCAGGCAAGTACATCTAGATTTCACTCACACAGGTTTATTTTCAAGCACTGACAGGCTAAGCCACACTTGGTCGCTAAGCCTCAGTGTGGCTTCACGTACAAAACAAAACCAGCAAGATGAAATGCTGCAGAGATGCTGAAGTCTCAAAAACTTTCATATCAACCTGCTCGGCACGCTTCTTAAAACCTGTCTTTTTGATTCATCCTAGCAAACAACATTCCCTACAAATATTCTCTTAATTGATGTTTGTCCTTCTCTGTTTATGACTTGATCTAAAAATGCTACTTTCGTGCAAAAGAGGGAAGAAGTGTTTCACAATAGCCACAAACTCACTAGTAAAAACAGCCACTGTCTGCCAGTCACCTAGCATTTTCTTACGTATGTAAATAGATGAGTTTTTTCAGAATGATCTACCATTGCTCAGATTCTGACACCCAAATTTCAGGAGTCAGAACAGAAGCAAGACAAACCTTCCAAAATCTTAAACATCTAGCTGAGATCAGGCACTGCCCATCAGCCTAAAGACTCCTCCCCATTTGCTTCAGGAGATTAGAGAAATGGCCAAGCAATTCACCAAGACGTTGCTAGGTCTGTCATCCATAAGCTCCCTATTTATTTATTCTAGACAGTGCAGTTACTGCATGTCAACAGCTGAAAATAAGAGTCTCTTATGACTGATTTACACTACTGGTGCTACAGAGAGCTGTACTGTAGAAAAATATCCCAATCAGGGAAACTGTGACTGGCCATACCCAAGGGTACGATACAGGGCTCTTAGCACAACAGGAGTTTGCAATCAGTCACAAGGTTTTGAGATAGCATGTGCAGTAGCAGCTTTCCTTCCCTCATTACTTCAATAGTATTAATCATTTTTAGGTGCAAGAGTATCCCACCAATAAAGTCTCCAGTCAGATCTACATTTTACCATTTGGTGTTTACTGACGTTCAGTGTTGATGACTGACTTACCCTGTCCAGTTTGAAGACCGCAGCACAGAAGAGGAGAGGGCCTATGGCAAAAACAGCCCCTAGAAAGGACGTCTTAGGCGTCGGGCGGAAAGTGGGGTAGACGTTCTGTGTCCTAGCATAGGCCCAGCGGACCAAGGCGGGATCTTCCTGAGTTGGAAAGAAAACCACAGTGAGGCTCCAGGGGCCCTGCAACGGCCACTCAACTCGGCGCAGCCCCGTTTGCCCCCG